AGGAAATGCTATTCCCTAGTGACCCCCACCTTATTGTGAATTAGCATCTGCATTTTTTTAATATTTATTTTTTAGTTATCGGCAGACACAACATCAAATGGTGATTTCATTCTCAATTTTCTGAGGAATCTCCATACTGCTTTCCATAGTGGTTGCACCAATTTGCAGTCCCACCAGCAGTGTATGAGCATACACTTTTCACCACATTCTCTCCAGCATTTATTGTTGCCTGTATTCTTGATGATTGCCATTCTGACAAGAGTGAGATGAAATCTTAGAGTAGTTTAAGAGACTATATTTCTAATATTTAAATGTCAATTTTATATCACTCTGAAGAGTCACATTGAACAAGATCTGCTAGTTTAAATGTCCATTCAGGCAATCCTCCTATGTATGGGTCAGCACAGGTCATTCTAAACCCAGGCTAATTAAAAAAAAAAAATTGGCACCAGGGATTGAATCCAGAAATACTTAACCACTGAGCCACATTCCCCAGCCGCCATTATTACTATTATTATTATTATTATTATTATTATTATTATTATTATTATTATTATTCTGGGACACGTTCTCACTAAGTTTCTGAGGCTGACTTTGACTTCCCATCCTCCTGAGTTTTTACTTTTCCTGTGAAAGATTCAATCCCAGTGATTTGGGAGGCTGACTAAGAGGATTACAGGTGTATGCTACCATGCCCAGCTACCCAATTTCAGTTTTTACCGTCTCTTTGAGTCATATTCTGTTTTGACTCTGGTGTAGCTCACAGTCTTCCTGATGGGATAGCTTAGTTTTGGCTTTTCCTGGAAAGAATCAATCATTTCTGTGGTTTGAATAAAAGATTAAACTGAATGGCAAAAGAGATGTAGAGTGTTTATACATAGTTGTATTTGGACATCTACTCTGAACTAGAGTTAGAATTTAATATTTGACATAAGAGTTACATTGATTTTCTGTTTTTATTCATGTCACAAAAAAATAACAGAGAATCATTTATGAATAAACCATGGAAACTGTCTTTACCAGAGGCAGAACAAGAGCTAAGAGTATGACTTTAATACTTCAAGGGGAACCTAGGGTCTTGTGAGAATCAGCAGAAGGACAGTTGAGAAAGATTGTGCTAAGACATGCTAAGGAATTTTATTTAATATTTAATTTTAATAAAAAATTTTGATGTATCAAAATAAAACTTCTGTATCTGGTATAAAAGCAGTAAGTACTGAAAGTCAAAACAGCAGAAAAGCATGTTATGATTCTAAAGCAGTTTTTAAATAGCTGCATAATACAAGCCAATTGTCTCTGATATTAACCTGCTTATAAAACCTCTCAGAAATACATTCCAGCCCTCATGCTGGAAACTTTTTTCTTAACCACTACAATTTTTCATATTGTAATTAGACTTTGAATCTTCTTGTTTTATCTATTTGAGATAGTATCAGATCACCATTTTTTTAAATCTGAAGTGGCGAACGTATAGATCCTGGCCAAGATCTGGAAGAAAGAATTCATTCACTACCATCCTAGCTGACTTTTTTTCATCTGTCTTCCTTCCCACCCCCTCACCTTGCAGCCAAGCATGCTTTAGCTCCTGGTACTGCTCCCCAAATAATTTCCTCCACATTGCTAATGATGATATTCTGGTCAGAATGTGTTTGGACTAAAATCCCATAAAACACAATCCCAAACACCACAATCCAGAATATTGAAATCCTGAGAGATCACAACCCCTAAAATTTAAAATCCTTAAAATCTAAAATCCAAAAAATGTAATTCTGGAAAAAAATAAACATATTAAAGGACATTTATCTACCTTTTTAATGACGTTTACTTGAGAAACATAAAAACATGACAGCATTTCATAGCTCACTTCACACAAAAAC